AGGGAAATAATCTGGAAAAACGGCTCACAGCCAATATCTGGCGAGTGAGCAATTCTCTCTCGTCTCTTAAATTCTGGTTTCCTGATGAGTGCTTTATAAAAAAAAAAAAAATCCCCAAACCAGCTCCCAGCTTTTGAGCCAAGAGACTCCCTGAGTCTGGAAGGCTTCACAAGTAAAATAAAAGATTACTACAAAAATTGCTTTCTCAACCAGTCTCTGCAACCAGGACTGCTGCCACGATCCTTATGCCTTGGTCAGGACCCTGCAGCTGGTCCCTTTTGGAGGCAGCTGCAAATCCCACATTGCTCATGGCTCTGTAGAGGTGCAGAGCATGAAATCAGACCTCCTTGAGGGATAGTTATTTGTAAGCCAGCCTGTTTTTTCTCTTCACTCTGCAATATTGGTAATTCTGTGGCCCAGGGATGGGTATTAGGGTAGCCTGGGGGCTGCACCCAACCCAAGAGGCAGTTTTATCTGCCCAAGCAAGTGAGCATAAAGTTGGAGGGAAGGTGCAGTCTCAGCCATGTAGTAGCACAAATGCGTCCGTCTTGGCCCAATCTACAAATATTTGCCAGCAACTGTAACTTAATATAGAATTTGGCCTTTTCTGCCATACATGGGAAATTAAGACCAAATCCGTAGCAGCTTTAGTTGGTGTGGGCAGTTCTTAAATAGCTGGGAGCCTGCACTCTTCCCACATGGCATTTCAAAGCAATGCCCTCCCCTGTCCACCCACACAGCCCACAGGCACATCAAAACCCTTGTTGTTTCCATACAGGGTTATTGCTACAGCCTCTCTTCATGGCTTCACTGATGCAAATTTGCCTTTATTGCGCAAGCAGAATACCTCTCTGGAGGAGCATTTTTAGCTCCTTGCATGGGTCTGGTCAACTCACTCCGCATACCGATTTTTCTTTGCACTGCTTCTCCCTATGAAGGGAAGGGATAAGTGATCTGCCATTCCTATCCAAGGCTTGCCTCTCATCTCCTAGCCTGATCTCATTTCTGGACTTACATGACTCATCCTCTACTTGCTGCTAAATTTCCAAGCAAGGAATTCTTGTGCTATTTCCTTCATGCTTAGAGGAGCTCAAATGCAACCACAGCACAAACTCATCCTTCTGCTTTACACCTCTGCAAGCTTGCCTTTCCCTGTGACACCTGCAAAAAGAAAATCTTTGTCTCTACTGGATGGTCGAGATGCCTGCCTGGCCACAGTGCCTCATATTTGCTTATTGCTTCCTGCAACAAGTCTTGGATGGTGTTTTCTGTTGTTTCAATCGCAAGCACTTTTGTTCTACCTTCATAGCACTTACTTAGCAAGAGTCTCAAAGTCAGAACACTGTGACATCTTACCATGCATCAGAGACCAAAGTTAGCAGCTGATCATAGTTCCCTCACTTGGAGAGGGCATGGCTGAGCTGAACCTGTTTCTGTAGCAAATATCACTCCTGGAAGGGACCCAGGTGAGGTGTCATTGACTTCCCAGCCTGAAGAAGCAGGGACCCATTTGCAGTGGTCCCTCAACTATGGCCGTTTGCTCTCCATGGGGTTGCAGGGAGGCTTGAACTTGTTCCTTGGCTCCAGAAAGAGAACTGCATTAGCCAAAGGGATGTAAGAGTCTGCTAATGGATGAATAATAAACCAGCAGGATGAAAGGAGGAGAGCACAGCATGGGATTAACCAGGTACTGCCAGAGGGGTGATGCTGGGCAGGCTCACCTTAGGGAGCCTTCTTGCAGCATTTCTGGAGGTCTCTGGATGGGGTAGGATCACTAGCTGCAAAACAGAGCCAGTAACGGCCACAGACAACTAGAAACATCTTTGGACTGCAGCATTTGGTGCTCTCTCCCAAAGACCCACAACCTTCCTTTGCCAACCTCCTAGTGCCAAAACCTGGCTGCTCAGAGGTTTCATTTTTGAAACTGTTTTCCACAAGCTAGAAAGTACCTGTTGGTCTGACCCAAACGGCACGCTGGCCTCTTCAGGAGCCCGGGTCGGGGATCCACCATAGACAAGGCAAGAGCCCGCCCTGCACCAGGATGAGCCTGCATAATCAGTAGGCTGTGATGGCCCTGCCTGGGGAAAAGAAATAATTTTTTTTATGCAACATGTTTCACTCCTCTTTTCCAAAGAAATCTCTTTCTCTCTCTCTCTCTCTTTTTTTTTTTTAATTTCTTTCTCCACTTTCAGCCAAAAACAAGGAAATTTTCTCTCAGAAACATTTCTCCATTCCATTGGCAACTATTTCGCTCCCTTATTCTTCTCTTTCTGTTTGGTCAGGAAAAATTCTCAATATTTGGACAGCGAGTGAACAGAAACAAGGGATATGATGCCACTTAGTGGAACATAGTCAGATAATAATAATAATAAAACACAATATTCCACCCTCCACATTTCGTGTTCTTGGTCGTCTCTACGACGGGCAGAGTGCAGCCCGCGTGGCAGGAGGTGACATGAGCCAGGCGGGCAGAGCTGGCCGCTGATAACAGAAACTCCCTTATCTGCCCCTCTCCCCCTAGTAAATACACTCGCATGCTCTGCAGACGTGCCAGGCCCGCCGCGGGTCCCGCTGGCGACGTTACCGTGCTCGGTGGCACTTTACAGTATTTTTAGCCCTCCTGACATTAGCAAGGTGCAAAAATAAAAGCCGGCACTGATTTGGCACGTGTATAAAAGGACTGTTCTGGAATTTGCCTGCCCTGTGCAAACGGCGGGGAGCCGCAGCGGGACAGGGAGCAGGGTGAGTAGCAGCAATACAAAAACCCTCTTTTGCAAATGTTTTGCTTGCTCTGACATCAGCTTGCATGTGTGGTGCTTCCCTAGGGAAAGCTGCATGGACCCTCCTGAGAGCATTCCCAGGGTTTCCCTATCCATATCCCATTGGCTTTGCCTACTCCTTGCCGGAATGATGCCAGAATGCTAAATCCACATGCTGGGGTGACTTGTGTCCACCGTGCCTCTCCTCTCCTCTGGTGGCTTCTTTGTCATCCTGCCCCAACAGAGAGGGGGTCAAACGCAACCCCCCTGCACAACAGCAGCTGTTTTGCTAACCTTGGGCTCCTCAGTGCATCCCTTTTCCCTCCCTCTGCCAGGTATCCAAGAGAAGACGCCACCGAGGTGCCAGGTGGTCTCTGTGCTCATGTAGCCAAGCTTTTACATTCGACCCTCGGTGTTTCCGACTGCAGACATGCAAAGGGGAGCCACTTTTTGCTCTGCTGGTACCACAACAGCCCGTCGCAGCCCTGATAGCAATGCCTGGGCTACTTGGAAGCAGCGTGGGGCTGGGCAAAGCTAACGGTCTGCAGCCTCCTGTTTAAGGAAAGGGGAGGACCCGCTGTTACAAGGTGGCAGAAAGTATTTCCAAATCTGGGATGAATTCTGAGATAAATTCCACCATCCTCACTGCTGCCACAGGAAAAGAAAAAGGGAGTATTTTTTTAAAAAGCGACAAAATGCTTCATGTGAAAGTTTTGTTAAAGGACTCCAAATTGTTGAAGATTAGGTCACAGCAGAGGTTCTGCTTAAAAAGGAGATATTTTCTTTTAAAAGATGCAAATATGAAAGTGACAAAAATTGAAGCAAAACATTTGGTTTGAACCAAAGCGGAAGTGTTTAGATCAAAAATACGACCAGGCAAGTGAGGATGATGAGTTCTGAGCAGCTCCAGTATCTCTCACACTGTGGCCAAAGGCTGAGTTGGTTGCAAGCGCTCAGCACTTGTGCATGCACGTATGTGCTCATGGGTGAGCATTCTGGGGAGCTTGGGGTGGTCTTGTCCTCTCCTGTACAAGGTTGTCCCCTTCCCAGCAAGGAAATGCAGAGAAGCTCAGAGGGAGAGGAGCGATGTCCCGCTTTCCAGGAAGAAATCCCAGGCTGCTTCTGCCTGGGAGAGGCTGGATGAATGCGGGAGTGACATTTCTGGGCTATGCTAAAAGTGGCTCACAGCAGGCTCTGCTATTTGCATTGCACAAATAGTCATTTTATAATTAAAAACAACAACAGCAAATAGACACTAAACTGAGATAAAACTAGCAGGCGCTCTGCAGATGTTCAGGGCGCTCAGGAGTTGCCTCTTCCCACAGTTTTAACCCAACAGCTTCATCAGTCCTGGATGGTGCCTTTCATTCCCCCTTTCCATCCCTTTCCTCTTGCAACCTTTTCAGTCAACCCAACTACATTTCAAGTGTAAAGATACAAAAGAAAGAATAACTTTTTTCTTTCAAGATAACTTGGACAGCAGAGTGAATCTGAGCACAAAAGAAAGTAGAGCTTGAGTATGAGGTCCTGGAGGTCCACCTAAAGAAAGCATTTGCCTACAAAAATATTTCTTTGGAGCAAGAAAACACGAGTTACAGTGCTCTCTGTGCTCTCTGATTCCTGGTCCTGAAGGTGAAGAGAAATACTGTGCCATTAGTCCTAGACATATGTAGGGAAGCAGAGGTACTCAGACATTCTCTACACCCACTTGCAGACCTTTCCAATACACAAAAACATCTCTTTTTTCTCAGATTTCTTCCATTCCTTTCCAGTGCTGAGATGTAATTGCTGATAATCCACCAGTAGGTCTGCAACTGTTCAAAAATATGTATGTACTTGGAAACAGTACAGCTGAGGCCTTCCCTGTGGCATTGTCATCCACCTTTCTTCAGGAGTTGGGAGAAAAGCAGTGTTTTTGGTCAAACTCAGTTGACTAAGACCTGATTTGCTGTAATTAATCAAACAGGCAGGAAGACAGGCAAGCTCCAAAGGAATCTGTGCAGAATATGTTCTTTCTTTTTTTTAATAAAAACATCTATCTTTCCATCCACAGACCACCATGGTTTCTTTGCCTCCTTACTGCACATATTAAGACCAGCTATGACAAGTCATCCAAAACCCAGACTATTCAAGCAAGCGAATCAGTTTTCTCCTGTTACTCAAGGAATGCCAAGCACCACAGAAAAACAACCCACCCAAAGCACATCGAGACAGGCCCGTCACAAGAACCACAGAGAAAACATGATGCCAACTCATGCAGACAGCATCTTGCCTGGCCAGAGGGGAGCTCAGCCCTCGGACGTCTGCAATGGCAACTTTTCCTTGGGATGCGCTTCTGGAAAGATCGTCCGCAAGTCCTGGGAGGAACAACTTCAACGAGCCACCAACGCAAACGGGAAGCAGAAGCAAGGCATGCCGAAAAAAGTATTGGCCATGCAAAGAGTAAGGGACGAGCCCAAGGACTCACCCTCCAAGGATGTCTTCCTGTTTTGCGCAAACAAATTTAACAGCAGCAGCAAAAAGGCTGCTATCCAAAAGCTACTGCAGAAGTCATCTGTGACCATGGAAAGCTGTTCCCCAGGCCTTTCTTCCAAAGAAGGGCTTAGCAGCTTGAAAGAAAGCAAACAGGCCAAAAATTCCCAGAGGAAAAACAGAAGAGATCTCTTCCCTGGCTCAGAGGTTTTCGGACATGTAGATGCCCACGTCCTGTGTGTGAGCCAACAGGTAAGTACTGGTGTACTTCACCATGTGCAAAGGTGATGCCACTGGCAGATCCACACCCAACATTTAGCGTCCACCTTTTGCTCTGGTGACAACAGCGGCAATGTGGTGTCTTGGAGCAAAACCAAGGGACCTCAAGGCCATGGGATGTGAATTTGCCCTCACCATGGCCAAAGATGCTTGCACTGCACAGCCTCAGCACTCCTGCAGCACATGGTGTTGGGTGGCATGGCCAAGGACTCACCAGGTGAGACAAGCCAGAAGGGCTGGTTTCCAGGGCTCATCATGGGACAGGCTTTTCCAGAGTCCCAAACAGGATTGCAGGGGGCAGGAGGATCCTAGAGATGCTTCTGCACAAGGTAACTGGAGACAGGAAAAGAATCAGACCGCAGGATGCCCTGAGGTACCACAGCATGTGTTTACTTAGCCAAGGAGATGGAGAGCCAGCCCAGGAAAGCATGCAGAACCAGCAATAACTAGGGTCAGCTGGGTTCAGGCACACACCAGCCCCTTGATGCTTTTGCATCAGGGACCTGGCAAGCAAGGCTGTGTCGAGCGGGAAGTCTGTCTGCCATCGAGCATCGCTCCAGCTTTCAGGCTACTCGGGAGACCAGGAGGTGAGCACCAAACTTCAGAATTCCTTCCTGCTTCCTGAAGCACACACAGCCTGCATAATTTCTCCCCAAAGCCAGTGCAACATATTTAAGCTCCCAGTGCTGAACCAGTGCAGCATCCTTCACTGCTTGCACATCAACTCGTTCAAGGGAGTGAAGAGGCACAGAAAAAACTGAGCTCTCCGTTATGTTGAAACCACTGATTTGTACCTAGCCTGAGGCTAATCTCCCTTGGGAGTGAGGATGCTCCAAAATTTTAGGATCTGCCTAGGCCATTAAAAAGGGAAGAGAAGGGAAGGGGGGTTGAAAATGTAAGAGGGCAATAAACAACTAAAAAAAAAAGTCCAGCAATGGGGAGCCATGGGAACAACTTGTTTCTCTGTTTATTCAGAGTGCTTAGCTGTACTAAAATCTAGTGCACTTAGTTTCTTCCTCTTAGCTATGAATTTTTAGAGCCAAGAGCAGCAGCAGAGCAGTCTACTGATTGCCTACAGTGGGGTACGGCTTTTCTGGTGGCTGTTGGATCCATGAGGACATGCGATTTTCCCCTCTCCCAGGTACCAAGTGCTGTCGTCAGTCCCCAAGGGGCAGCGTCAGAGAGGGTAGACTCAACACTGAACGTGTTTTCCAGCTTTTAAGGAGTAGTCTGGGGCATGCACACATGCACCTGGCTTGAGCACGTGAGATAGACTTGGTAGGACCATTGCTTGGGTCTTTTGGAGAGAACAGCCCCATCTGCCAGCTCGAAAGAGGAGAAAGCAGCTACTTGAAACCCAAGATGCTCCAGCCTACTTCTTCAGGCTCCACAGATATAGTCAGGACATGGATGAGGAGGGGTTGTCACGGCTCCCTAACGCTCTTGCTATCATCTCTGAGATGGGGAATAGAGAAGAATTGGGCTGCAGATCAGCTGGAAAAGAGCTGGCAGAAGCCTGACCACTTTTCACCACTAGCAGAATCCTCTTTCACCAAGATGCGCCAACAGGGAAGCAGGGAGCTAGATATTTAATGACTATTTTCTTACTTTTTTATTATTATTATTTCCATGGGAAAAATTGACATTATTTGCTTGCGTAGCAGCTGCACGCTCATAATGATCTCATGACAGAAATGCAAGGGACCAGCAAAAAAATACCATAATCTTGGCATAAGTGCTCTCCTGGCGGCTCTGTATTTTTAAATGCAGCATCACAAGAAAAATCTTTGGCCATAACAAATGCAACAGTTCCCATGAGCAAAAAGAAAGAATTTTCCATCTATATGAAACTATCTGACAGGTTGTTTTGGGCAGGAAAATCATTAGGGAATGCAATAGCAGGGACAGGAGGCTGGAGAAATGAACTGGACTAAATTTAACCCAATGAAAGAAAAGCCCGCTGCCAAAACTGCCTGTGTTAGCACAAAAGAGGGAAAAGCCCAGAAATGGACATCATTGAATTGGAGGAAAGGGGCAGGAAGGCTTTTTTGGGGTCAAGGATGGACTAGAAAGTTAGAGACATTAGACACAGAGAAAAGTTAGAGTTACAGGCAGGGGTAAAAAGAAAAGAATCTTTTTTCCATCCTTCTTGGGGGTGGGTTGGACTGAGGTTTAGTAGCCTCAAGAAGAGCATCTGAGGCACCCAGCTGCTAGTTTTCTCCTTTGTAAATACACTGAGACATTAATCAGTGCATGGCTGGACATCCTGCATCCCCAGCTGAAGTGTCACAGAATAAAACATTCCGGTGGCATCGCACTGAGCAACCCACAGTGCATTTAACCATCCCCTCCGATCCAGATGAAACCCGGGCAGGACGGGCTGTCCATCCCCACCGTCGTGCGCCTGATCACTGCCAGATCCCAGAGCAAGCTGGAGACCATGCGAGCAATATGGTTCTGGCTCTGCCACAACATCGGTAAGTCCAAACCCGTGGTGCCGCGGAGCTGGGGCAGAGCGGAGGCTCCTTTCCTCCAGCCTTGCCTATGCCATCTCCTGGGTTTAGCTTCCCTGCAGCTTTGCTTTAGCTCTGGTTTCTCTTCCGACAGTGCAGGGACACCCCACACAAGCAACCTCTGGTAAGCCCCATATTCCTCCTTTTCTGCCATCAGTGCAGAAAAACGTCAACCCATCGCGAAAGAGCCTAGGGTAGGAAGCAGTCTCCAAGGTGAGACCCTCCATCCTGGACAACACACCTGCTTCAGGCCAAATCTACTAAAGCATTTGGGAGCCAGACCCTGCCCAGGGACCCCCGTGAAGGCCACACGCCTCCACTGTGCTCTGTTTTAAGGCATAAAGGACTATTCCCCTGACAAACGGTGCAAGCTTGGCCAAGCTGGGCTATGGCTGGCAGGAGTCACACGGGGACACAGGACTCGGAGCACAATGCAGCTGCTCCGTGCCACTTTACCCCACTACGTCCATGTGTGCAACACAATACGAATGCCCCCATACCTCCCTGAAGAGCGCAACGGCTGTTTACATGCTCCGAGAACCCGATTCCCCCAAGGCTTTCGTAATTCTTTGCTCATATGGGGAATTGTCAAGCTCTTGAATAAAACAAGCGGGTACAAATGCTGTCATGGCTTCCAGGGTGGGTGAGCAGAGAAACAGGGATGGGCAGGAGAAGGCATGAGATTGTTTTGGAAATAACAAGGCCTTCCACTGGCCTGGAGTTGCGTGATTTTCTCCTTTTCCTAGAATATGACGTGGATGGCTTCCTAGGGCTCTCTCAGAAGATTCACATGCCAGAGCAGGTCCTGCAAACTGGACGAGCTGTGTGCTCTGGTTATGCCCATTTATGCCAGGAGATGTGCAGGTAAACCTCACCTTGCCTCCCCACTTGAAGATTTGGGGGGAGAATGGGGGATGGAGAGATATGTAGCTGGTATATGTGTTGCCAGACATCTGGCATCATCCCTGGGTGATCCCACAGCAACTGCCCTTCCCTCCTTTCCTGCTTGGATAGGAGATCTGGGCTCAACTGACTGCCCCACTGGCATTCCCTGGTTTTGTGTTAGAGATATAAGGGCTAAGACTTGGCAACAGCTCTGCTTGCTCCGCTGGAAAAAAAGCTGGACAAAAGATGGATTTTGGCCAATGGCTGGCACAAGCTGAAGGCGCAAAGGACCATAAGGAGTGAGCAATGCTAGTGGAGGGGTCCTGGCTTTAACAAGAAGGAGGTTGAACTAATCATACCGGTTGGGTTGGTCAGCCAAGAAGCAGGTGCTGGCAATGTTCATCCCGTGGTCACCCTTCCTGCTGGCTGTCCCTGGGCAGGGAGGCAGGTCTGAGCTGCGTGGAGGTCCCAGGATACGGCCGGAGCCCCGGCTCTCGCGGAGGGCAGCAGTGCCAGCAGCAGAAGTCCAGCCACATGTGGAATGCAGTGGAGCTGGAAGGGCAGTGGTGCCTCCTGGACGCTTGCTGGGGCGCAGGGACCGTGGATGCAGAAAGGCGCTTGTTCATGCCCAGGTGAGACATCCTGCTCCCAGGATCCTGAGGAGATGTGGGTGGTCCTCAACATGAAGCAAGACTCAGCCTCTCCGTGGTGACCCGGGGGGTCACCTGGCTTTGGACCCTCGTTTTAGATATCCCTTCAGGGGCCATTTACCAGTGGTCTAGATTGTCCTTTCCCACCTTCAGCTAGAGCAGGCACTCACCAACATCCAAACGCAGACCTACATTCAGTGCCTTAATCCATGAGCTGTCACTTTCCAGGTGACAACTCTCTCTCTCCCCAGCTTGCTTTAATTTGCAATGAGGATCACTTTTTAAGTAAGGAATCCTCATTTCCACAGCAACTTTGCTCTAATGTGGCTCTATATGTAATTACTTGAGATTCCTCAGCCCATGCTAATAATGACTCTCATGGAAGTTATTTGTGCAATTTAATAATTACCATTGGCTGCATTATGGGATTGTCTTTTTGCATTTTTTTCTTTCTAATAATGCATAATGAAATAGTAATGGAATTTCTCGTGAGTAATTATTTTACTGAAAACAGTTTAAAACATCGTCGAGTCTGCATTTTTTTTAGTTGTGCAGGGGAAAAGAGTAGAAGCAGACTGAAAGATCACCGAAAGCAAAAGGCAGACAGAACAGCTGCTTTTGGGTCCAAGCTGGTGCCCACTGGATACTTAATCCTTGTTGGGCAGCCCCAAAAAGTCAACAGCAGGGTCAAGGTTTGGAAAGTCAGGTTAGATACACTCCAACTAGAATCAAGATTTTTTTTTTTTTTCTAAATCATAAGTAAATTCTCCAAAGAACAGTAAACTAAGACCAGACATCATACTAAAATATGTAACCGGCTTTAGATAGAGGAATCATTCAGTAAAACTATCTGCAGTGCAGTATACAGGGCCAACTTAACTATTCATAAGAGGTCTGTTAATGGCTGTGAATAGCAGTTTCAGTCCTGGGCATCTCTATACTGGAGAAAATTAGAAAGTAAGAGGCAGCTGAAAAGGCATGAACATGGAAAACTGAGCAACCAGGTGTACTCATTTGCAAGGGAAAGATGAAATATGAAGGAAGGGCTTGTCCTCCATCCCAAGCAGATGAGGAACTAGTTTTAGGCAAGTTGCGGGACTGGGAATAAGGAGAGCTGACTTTAACACAGGGAAAAAAAGTGCTTGCAAATGCATCTGGGCTGGACAGAAACACCGGAGAATTCTTCCTAAGGCCAAAGGAGAGCCCCTTCCTCCCGTCCTGAAGTCAGTGCAGCTCTGATGGGATCAGGGAAGCGTTTCTGCTTGGTGTGCTAAGGGTTTCCCATCGCCCTCACCCCTCTCGTCATGCAGGTACGACGACTTCTTCTTCCTTACTGACCCTGAGCACTTCATTGAGACCCACTGGCCCGATGACCCCTCATGGCAGCTCCTGCAGCCTTCTGTTTCATGGGAAGACTTCGAACAGAGAGTTTTTAAAACTTCAGAGTTTTTCAGGCTGCAACTCTCCCTCCTTTCTCCAAACACCTCCCTCCTCAAAACAGGTAAATGCAAAGTGAGGACTAAATCTTAATAATATTCTTCTTGGTTGTTTGCTTACTTTAAAGAAAGGATCCTGGGGTTGAGGTTCTCCTTCGATCAATCTGTCTATTTTTAAGCACAAGTTTAACTTCCAGGAGAGCAGAGGCACATATTTAAGCAATGTCTGCAATCACAGCCTTTGTGTGATACTGTGATTAATAAACTGGGAATTAGGATTCATGAGCTGTAGTTAATTGAGTCAAATCACTTAAGTCCTTCTGTGCCTTAGTTTTCCCATCTTAATTCACCAACAGTAACAAAATAACGTCAAGGTACTTCAGACATAAACTTGGTCCCATTTGTAGAGGAAGAAAGGGAAGTGAGGATGGAGTTGTTCTTCTTTGTTCCGTTTGGATAAGCTGAGATCTTTACTTACCTGGATACCTGTTGTACATCCATCCCCATGAATAGTCCCAAGAACATAAGGATTTTTTTTTCAATTTATCAAAAGGGCAAGGTAAGAGATAGAAGTTGAGGGAGATGTTCAGGATTATTGCATATGAATGGACGACAGACAAGAAACACTGTTAAAACTTGGAGTTTGCAGACTCCAAGGAAAACAGGAGATCTACAGCTGAACTTTTAAACACATGCCCAAGTGCTAAATTGCAAAATATGAACTCCTGCCACATAACATGAGTGTGGTGCAAAGGCCTAAGGGGAAGAACGAGGAAAAAATAAGGTTTTCATTAAAAAACACCTCCCAGCTGTTGGTAGCCAAAAGATGCAGGGATGGTGCCCAGAAGTAGCTCACTCTGTAGGTTTGGCTCTTTGGTGTCCCTAGCCCCTATCCAGAGGCTGCCATGAGCCAACAGGACCTTGGGAATGGTGCTGGGAAAGCAAAGCAGCTCAGCACTGGTCAGCCATATCTCCTTTCCACAGCTGTTTGGCCAGAGAAACTCATGTACCCCAGCCCCAAAATTTGATGGATGAGCTGGACTGCAGGCTCCAAAAACTGAGATGTAAGGAGAGTTTCCCATTAGAAGAGAAAGAAAAATGCCGTTTTCTCTCTCTCTCTCTCTCTGATTTTCTCATCTTCAGGATGGTTTAACTCCTGCAATTAGCATAAGCAGTCAGCTCCGTATCAGAAGTGTGCTCAAAACACCAATTTGCAAACACAGATTATGAACTAAAACAGATGTCTTTTTTTGTTGCTGCAAAACTCTAGTTATTTCGATCTAGCTCAATGGAAGGAAGCCAGCAATAAACAGGGAGTGTTCAAGCAACTGGGGTAATGCAAAAGCGCTTGAGATCTTCGGTACAAAATCAGCCCATTTTCCCTCTTCAGCTACCGCGGATCAAATTCTGCTCGATTACATTTGAGTAGCTCCCATTTGCTTGAAGCACTTAAGAGCTTTCAGGCAAGATTTCTCCCACAAGTCACTATCTTTTGATGGGAGCTGAACTTGGGACATCTTGCAAAAAGACCTGATTTTCAGGAAATATCTGACACCCATCCTCTTAAAAATAAAGAGCCCTTTTAATTGGTAGTGTTGTCTGGACCGTTAGGTTTGGTAGGAACAGTGATCGAGCACATTTCCCACTGTGGAATTAGGACTTTGTAGGAGTTATTTTTCTACAGAAAGCCAGGCACTGGGGCAACACTGTAGATACAATAGCCAGGGTGAGAGAGGGGGAGGGAAGACTTTTAAAGAACTCTTTGAGAAATTAGAAACATGCCTGTGTTTTAATGGAGTTTTTGTCATTCCCTCGCTGCACAATTAGTGCGGCACACACTGCCCTCCTGCAGTATCCAGCGTGCTGACATGGGAACACATCCCCGGCTTTACCTGGTCTCCCCGAAAACAAAACAAAACAAAGCAACAAAGGAACCCCCAAGAATAGAAAAAAAACAAACCCAGGAATCTTCAGCTCATGGCTTGAAGTAACTCAATAAAACAAACAAATGTTTGTTTTAAATGTAGCCATTAATTATCTCCTCGGGTCTCCTTCCCAAGGCGAAATGCGTTGCTGGCTTCCCTATCTCGCCATCGCTGGCTCCACCGCATACAATGTTCTGTTCTTTCTTCCTAAAGATCCTAATACGATGCAGCCGGCCAGGCCAGCAGCTTCGGAAACTAGCATAGAGCGAATTTAATAACAAGCAAACCTGCAGTTAATAAAGTCTGTCATCAGCAATGTCTCCACTGAACACTTGCCAGCAGAGAATTGTTTGCACTTACTGTGTGAGCCAAGTCACAGCTTTAACAGGCAACGCACAAATAAGACCCAGCCTTCCCATTCTTTTCGCAACGCTGTTTCGGCCTACCAAAAGAGAACTGTGGGGCAAACAATGAAAAAATCCACATTCCAAAAAAAAATACCCACCCCCTTACCTCCATTACTATGAAATATGTTTCATAATCTAATAATTAGCAAGGGGCAATTCTTTTTTCAGCATGAATCCAGAGGCTTTTGTCGCTTTGTGTTAGCACCCAAAACAAATTGACGCTGCATGCGGTGCGGGTGCTGGTACCCAGAACAGGCTCCCGCAGCGCTGGCATTTGGTGCTCTGCAGCCAAAACAGCGTTGGAGACTGCAGAGCATCCACACTCCGAGCACGAGATGAGCAACCCCATGCTTTTCCCCCATGCTTTTGGGGGAAAAGGGTATAGAATACGGTATAAGATATCACTGAATCAGGGCTTTTTAGCAAGGCTGCCCCAGTATCTCCAGCTCTGCATTGAGTTGATGTAACTCATCAAGGCTAGTATCTGCTTGTTAGGCTTTCCTGTCTTCATCAGCGCCAGAGTTTGAAAGTTTGTGAAGCAAAGGTTTGAAGTTTTTGAAGACTTCTCCATTACATAGTCAATCAACAGCCTCTTCTGCCCAGGAGCAGACTGAAATCCCTTGGGAGGTTTCATTTCACTGAGAAATGATCCATCTTGCTGCATGATGAGCTTGCAAACAGCAGGATGTGGTATGACGGGGGGTGGTGAAATCACGGCAGCACCGACTCTTCCCCTCCACGGTGACCTCTCTGGAGTCTCTTCTCACCTCTCTTGGTGTGAAGGTGGGTTCTCCTCCTTGGCTTTAAAGCGTCCCACTGCAGCCAGGCTGGGGGAGCAAGGCTTGCTGCTGGGTGGTGCAATGCCTGAAGCCAAGGACCAAAAGGGTCATTGGGAAGGAAGGCTGAACCTTCTCCACCAGCCATGGTACGACCAGCAGATATCGAGAACAACGCACCTCCTCTGCTCTCCCCTCCTCCCTGGTTAGAATAGAAGCAATGTAGAATCATTACGGTTGGAAAAGACTTTCAAGATCATCAAGTCCAACCATAAACCCATCATCACTATGTCTACTAAACCACGTCCCTAAGTACCTCATCTACACGTTTCTTGAGCACTGCCAGGGATGGTAGCTCCACCACTTCTCTGGGCAGCCTGTTAAGCCACAATATGTCTCTTTTTTTCAAGTAAGCCCAAAATCTGGAAAATAATAATGATAATAACAATAACAATACTAATAATGGAAAAAAAAACCCTAATTATTAAAATGTGACAGTGTTGTTCCAGCCAGGCTGGAACATCCTGATCCTCCCAGCCACACTGCTACGTTGATACCACAACAGCAGATCTGCAGCTTGGAGGAACTACTCCAGCTCGCAAAGCAATGCAAATACTGCCACTGTATGGGAGATTAGCTTTGTCCTGGGTGCCCTGGTGGATAGAGGATAGCTAAATGTACCTATTCCCTTCTAAAAGATCATCTAAGGACATCTGCAGAGAAGTAGTGATATCATCATTTTCAGCAAGGAGCAAAAATGGTAAAAGATGAGGAAGAATCTTGCTAAGGTGCTTCAGCAAGCAGAGATGGAATTGGATATCCTGCACAGACATTGTAGGTTCTACACTGTAAAAGGGCTTGAGAAGTAAGTAAATACCACTAGTGATGAAAGAGTCATAAAAGGTGTTTTCACCCTTCTACAGTCCGTGGAGAAGCATCAGTGATGCTGGAGAGTGCTCATCCAACAGAGTTCACCTACCAGCTCTCCAAACTCCAGGGCATGACGACTGGAGAGGATGTAGGTGCAGCTCATGGGATGATGACGGTGTCTGAGAACAGCATGACTATCAAGGTGACTCCTCCAACTGAGGGCTTGTTCAATCTCATGATCTTTGCACGTGACGCTGATTCTCAGGCTCCCTACAACTGGGTGTGTTCCTATCAGATTCAATGTCTGGAGCCACGCAACCGAGGGGAACTGCCTGAAAACCCTTTTTGGTTCTGGGGCCTTCACCAAAAAGTGAGAGATTTTGGTATCGTGGAGAGCAGCCACAAAGGGGAACTGCTGGTTGCATCACAAGGAACTTTGCTGTTGACTCTCCAGACGTCCCGACCCTTGCTTGCCACATATGAGCTGGCTAGTAATGACTTAGATGCTGCTCTGAGTAAGAAATGCCTGGCCTCGCAAGCCGAGGAGGGGAAGCTGAGCTGCCACGTGCTCTGTCCTGTCCAAGGTTACTACCGACTCTCTGTGTTCGTCAAAGACTTGGGAGCCAGCACCTTCAGGAACGTGGCCAACTTCCTCCTTCACTGCTTGGGGCCTGTCAACCAGAACCAGCTCTTCCCCTCGGGTCTGAGTATGCACTGTGGGGCTGGGATCAGCTCCACGGGCAGTGGCCTCTTCAACCCTAGCCACTCTGCCCCCATCATCACCACCAAGCTGGGGAAATGCAACATCACTTTCCACACACGTGCCAACATCGATGTGACTGCCAGCTTGAGTAAGGACAAAGTCACCAGTGCCAAGTACCCCCTGGAGAGATACGTTCTGGTCACCCAGCTGAAGACCAAAGTCAGCGTGTGCATTGCGCTCCCCGAGTCAGGTGTCTACAAGGTGGGGCTTTTTGGGAGAAGCAAGGACAGCAAGGACTTTGTCCATATTTGTGACTACATCATACGCTGCTTCTCCGAGCCTGGCTGGCCTCCTTTCCCCAAAGTTTACTGCCCATGGGGGAAAGGGTGCGTATTGCTAGAGCCACGAACGGGAGTGCTTCAAGAGCAAAGCTGGGCCCGGTTCAGGGTGAAGGTTCCCAACGCCTGTAGCGTTGTTGTCATCAGCGACGAGAAGGTGGCGCTTCAGCTGAACCCAAACATGGTCTGGGAGGGGGAGGTGTTGGCCAGGTCTGCAGGGACACAGGTCAAACTGGCAGCCAGGTTCAGCCAGTGTTGCCCTTCCCTGGAGGTCATGCTGGCATTTGAGGTTGGAAATGTCTCAGCTGTGTCCTTAGGGTGCTCAGGGTAAACCACAGAGGATTGTGGATGCTCGGGGAAGAATGGAAAGAACCAGGGAAGGAAGCAAAAGCTCTTAAACTAAGGATGCTCTAAAACTGAAGGATGTTGAGGAGACATGGGCAAAACTTCCAGAACTTCATGGCGTGTCAGGAGGAGTCTGGGTGTCGCATGCAGAGCTTTTCTTCCCGCAGGATATCCAGATATTGCTGGGGCCTCTTATCCCACTCAGAGAAGATGCTGCCTTTTAAATCAGTACCAACATAAGGAGGACTCCTAATATTTTGCTTCTGTCAGAGGAAACCATTGTTCAGCTTCTCTACAGGAAGGATGTCTCACTGCTTATTACCAGTCTGAATAATTGTTTGGAATGTTTTATTTGACATCTATTCAAGAACTTGGAAACCCAGATAGTTTCTTTCTTTTGAGAGAAAAACAAAAACCAAAACAAAACAAAAAGGCCAAACTGGAGCCAACAATATCAGAGGGTAGCAAGACTTTAAACATGTAAATATGTAGTAAAGCAAGGGAGACCTACTTGCAGAGGAAGTCTGTGCTTGGGCAGTGGAGAGGGGAAAGGAAGGAAAGAGATGCCATATTTTATTAACTGTGTCTTTAAAACATCTTCCAGGACTTCACCGTCAAGGATGACACATAGATAAATACTTAAGAGCATTGAGGGTTTGAAATGAGGAGAGGCAACGGGCAAGGAAGCAGTTCTTCAGCCAAAACATCTAATCACAGATCAGAAATCAGAGGCAACTAAGCTCTTAAACTCTGGCACATGCTGCAAGGCATCATAAGCAGGAGAGACCAATGCTGTGCAGGGCCCTCCCAGCATGTAAGAGGACAGATTATATTTGCTGTTCACAAAAGCGTACTCTAAGATAATAAAAAATAAAAGACCAGAGAAGTAGCTATATCATTTAATGCATAGGAACAGGACCAATGTTAGCACAGATTTAGACAATTTAGCAGACATTAGACCATCCTCGAGAACAGGGAGACAGCTGTCTCAGAAGAGCATTTAAAGATCCGTCTCTACCTTCCTTAGAAGTTCTCTTCCAAGAGATGTTGTGTTCATACACAAGGTTTTCAGGCCCTTTTGATTCAAGGCCTTTGTTTTTATGGAATTCTTTACAGTACTGGCTCAAGACCCCCATACAGTGAACAATGACTTACTGAAAACAACCTTGATTTTCATGGCGAGGTGGAAGAATGTGGGCTAAAAAGATATATAGTGGAAATAATTCTCCATGCCTGCATTGGGCTAATGCTGGAAATGGAGATTCTCTCTGCAGTAAAAAAAAAAAAAAAAAAAACAAGAATTTTAGATGCTGCACAAGAGACAGTGGGGTACATGGTCTGCTTTCTGCAAGTTTGGCAATGTAAATTTGATTTCTAGGATTTCCGATAGATTTGAACCTTTTCTGGAAATCTGTCAGTGGAGAGAACGCATGAGGATTTGTATAAGGATGCTGTTTAACAATTTAAGGAGTGTGGACCCCTGAATAACTGCTCTGATGACCCATTCTATATTGGGCTATCCACTTAGATAAGCAAGCAGAAAATCCAGAAAATCCAACCCCAAAAGTGAAAGTCCCCAAGGGAGAAAATGACTGCTGCAAGAAACGACTCCCAGTTGCCATACACATCTTCCTGTCCATGGGTTTTTCAATTTCAGTGAGTTTTACTGTTAGTTTTTCTCAGCTGTGCCGCTCATGCTCTTTTGAACCATGATATGTGGCTGTGTGTTCATGCATGTTGCTAGATGGAATTACCCCATCTTTGCTCAACTTTATGCTGGCCAGTCATGATCGCATGTCTCCAGAGAAAAGTCAGTTTCAGCTCAGTGATTAAATCCTCATTATGCATTGCAACAAGGTCCAGATTAGGGTTACCTGGAATGAGGGTCCAAACAACTTTATGTCAGAATATAATTACCTGGAGGCGCTGAGGACTTTAATGATACTCCCACAGGGGATTCTTTACTTCAAGGATCTGAAATCAATCTGCACGTATTTCCTCTCTGAGTGGGCTTGAGTAGAGCACGCAACCTACTTTAAATGTCATTCTTATTTAGATTTAGGTACCTCAAAGCACGCGCTCCCAGCTCTGAGAGCCTTTGCAATAAACACAAATGCCGCCTCTCCAAAAATAACAACCCTGAAGCAAGTGTCACTCATGAAGAAACAATGATAAGAGAAAGAACAAACTCGTATGTCTCTGCCTCTCTCACCTCCTCTGCCCAGCAGGATTAAATTAGATAAGGATGTATTACAACACATACCTGCAGCTATAATACACACCTATATCTGACCAAGCTTAGTTCAAAAAGTCATGAGGAGGCCTCCAGGCAAGCGCAGAGCTGTGGACAACCAAAAAACGAATAGGAGGCTGCACCACAGGTGCCACCTTGACTGAAAGGCTCTTTGACAACAAATGTCAAAACACGTAAGGCCTGGAAGGGCTGAAGCAGAAACTTGCACATCTTTCCAAAAATGCGGGCCATGCCTAGGCAAAGGAAAGGCAGTCTGCACCCAGAGCGAGCTTTTATCTTCCTGCATGGAGCCGTGTGCGATATTCACTGAACATAGACTCCTTGGTCTTACACACTTCCCTGTGCCATGCTTGTGCATATATTGCCATGAAGGTGGATTATGTTAATGTTTGTTTAGGCCGATTTTTTCCAGTGAGGCTGCATGATCGAGATACCTATGCAAACTGTGTTTTCTTTGTCTGGTTGTTGTGCTTCTTCACATTAAGTGCTATTAAAATGTGAGACGATCATCCCTTTGCACCTGAGTTAGGACTTTCTTGAGTTTTTACCTGTTTTATGGGTTTTCCATGCTAGGAGGTCACACTGAGACTGCGGTACAGCGAGTTGGTGTGATGATACAACAAATCGCTCTGCTGGTGGTTCTTCCACCCTTGGAGAAGGTCATGGCTCCATGTGCATCCCTACATGTGCACTGCATGTCCATGGACCTGTCGATGATTCACCTGCACCCTGTGCCCATAGAGATCTTACAGTTTAGGTACCTAAGGTAGGATCCATCAATGTAGACGCCGGCACTGGGATAGGATTCGCTGATTATGAAAGACCAAAGGGTGACCAGACCAGGTGATATGTCTATATACAATTAACTGAGTCCCACAACTAGTGCCATCATCACTAAAACTTCTGGGTTTTGGTCTGTTGGGTCAGAGAACATCCCTGGAGAAACAGACCTTGCATTGTCAAAGCATCTTTAAGGTACAGAAAGATGATACATCGTCTACTTCAAGGGTTTTCTCAAGCTTTTCTTCTTTGGTCTGAAAACTGGGATCTCATAGCAAAGACATAAGAAAAAGGTGGGAATAGAAAGAGGAATACTTGAAGAAAGGTATGTCTCAAAGCAGAGCTAAGCTCTCTCACACTGTCACAAGAGACATTTCAGTGAGAATGATCTTGTTCAACACATCCCCAGAGACCTGGCTGGGAAGAAGAGTGGGAAGGAACAAGGTTTAAAAATATTCCTCCGAGGAGCCTCGGCTGCAGCTGTGTCTCTGCAGGCAGGTGTATAGGAGGAGTTGGAGATAACTAGACCCCTGCCAAAGGTACCGTTTACCTCTCAACCATGCAAAACTAAGTGGAAAAGATGAATCGGGAAAATCTCTGAAGAGGGGCACTTGCCTAAAGCATCAGAGACTCCTGTTGTGGAAGTCCCTGTCCCTCCCCCAACTCCTCTCCACTGGAAAGGGAGGGAAATGATGAGCAGGCATTTTTGCACAGAGCAGGAGAGAACTTCCAAAGCTGAGCGCTAACGGAAAGGCCGCAAAGGGCATTTCTATAACAACAGAATGGAGAGATTAGCTCGTGGGCAGGCTAAGCGCCAGGCAAACAAATCTCCCAAATCCCGCATTATTAAGGATTTGAGCTACAAACCCATTTTACAAAGCTATCCAAGCATGGACACCTCATTAACATTTTCATGTCTGCAGTCAAAGAAGCTTCATGTCTGCGGCTGCAAAAAAGAAGTCACCATGGGACATAAGTTTGAGAACAAAAGGGAGAGGGAACAACCTGCCATTGTGCCAAAGTAACAGCTGAAGTCCTTAGGAGAGACTCAGCCAAGAGCACCGGAGTGACAAAACCATGACATCACATTTGCAGCAGCACATTTGCTTGCTGTACCAAAGTCTTCATTGCCTTGGGGCTGCTCTTTTCCATCCTTGGGTACATTGTGTACTCAGTACACACATAAGAAAGGGACTTTGGCTATCAGCAATTCTGTTTAGCACGAATAAAAAGCCTGGTAACCAAGGCTACTCAGGTGTTGCTCCTGTGATTTCTGGTTCCAGATAAAACAGTATTTCCCATATCCTTTTTGGTGGTGTGGAGACAACAACTCCTCAGAGAAAACAGGGCTCCATGGTACTAACCCCTAAGTGCAGAAGGTTGATTCCCACTCAACAGGCCTTGCAGCATCTACATAAAGCTCTGTGAGAAGCTATTAAAAAAAAAGTACAGCAGGTTCCTTGGGTAGACCTGCTCTGAGGGTTGGCAGCCTTCACCTAGGCCAGGTGGCAACCAGAACTGGTGCTAGGAAAAGGATGAGAACTACCATGATGGTGACCTTGTCTTAGCCTTCTAGTTTCCAGCAAATTGGCAGCCTAGGACCTGCCAAAGCTTGAGTTTGTCTTCCCATTATTCTATGGAGAAAGGCTGCCAGACCTCAAGCAACAAGGGAGCTGGTAGGGACTATCTCATTAGGCTGACAGACCCTTACAGACCCTTCCTAACCTTAAAGTTCAGTGAACAGAAGTGTCTCTATTTCCCTCTTCCCAAGGGTTAAGACAGAACGTAAGGGAATGTGACTTCTACACACGCATCAACACTTGAAAAAGGGAACAGAAAGGATCTTTTTGCATTGGTCTTGTCAGGTTTTTTTTGTTCAGTGATGCTTCTTTTTCAGGGGTACTCAGTCCCCTGTGATCCTGGTGATGCAGGTCCCATCTCAAGTTGGGACA